TACAATATATCCTGGTGAGTCTGAGGTAAAAGATACCAAAGAGTCTCACAAATATGTTTCATATCGGAATATTGATCGATACAATAACCTCGTCAGCAAATACAATTTATCATTGAGTCAAATACTGAACTCTATAACAAAATAGGTGTTTTTTTTTCTGTTGATTTTAAGATAATACAAACAAAATTAAAAAAAAAATTCATGGGGGAGGGGGCGCACGCCCGGCGCTCCATGGATCCGCCTCTGAAATAATTACAAAATAAATGATGGTATTTCTAAACTAGTAATACTAAGTACGGTTGATGTCGTCGATATATGTTCGTTCGTTGCATGTTTGGTGTCTCTAATAAGTGGGAGCGTATATAGTGATCAAAATGTCCGTCCGTACGTCCATCCGTATCTGTCATATGTCCGTCAGTTTATTACACTTTGGCGTGCCCATCTCCAATCAAGAAATCCTCTTATATCACTAAATGAAATTTGATGAGAATTTCACAGAATTTTTATAACATAGTGCAATTTTGCTCTGCTTACTTTACGTTTTTATCCGACAAAAATTTTGGTTTTCCCATAGCAAAAATGGACACTGTCATTATATTCATATGGGAGGGTGGGGTATCATTTAGTTATCTCTATGTCGTTTTTAGCTCACCTCAACGAAGTTGGGGGAACTTATGTAATACCCTCGGCGTCGGCGTCGGTGTCGACGTCGGCGTCCCGGGTTAAAGTTAAGTTTTTGAAGCAGTTTTCTTTTTAAGTACTTCTATGTCCTATATTGATTAGACATGCATGGAAGATGTTTCTAGTGTGTTTCATTGTACCAGTCAAAGTTTCAGATGCTGCAATTTTAGCAAAGGAATGACCAGGTCAATGTTTTTCGAGCAGGTTAACATGTTTGGTGCAGATTTTCGTGTAGGTCTCATGGTGTAGATCTCATTTCCGAGTAACCATAAGTTCTATGTTGACCAAACTTGCATGGATAGTACCTGTTAGGATGAACACTACCAGACTTGCTTCGGATGCTGAATCTGACCTACATTTTCTGCATGAGTGAACAGGTTTATGTTTTCAGTGCAGGTCTCAATTTCCAAGTAACTATGAGCACTATAATGACCAAACTTGCATGGAAAGTACATCTTAGAATGCATACTACCAGACTTGCTTCGGATGCTGAATCTGACCTACATATTCCGGTTAAGTGAACAGGTTAAAGTTTTTGGTGCAGGTTTCATCTCAAAGTTAATTACTTTGAGACATATAATGACCAAACTTGCATGGATGGTACATCTTAGGATGCATACTACCAGACTTGCTTCGGATGCTTAATCTGACATACATTTTCTGGTTGAGTGAACATGTTAAAGTTTTTGGTGCAGGTTTCATTTCCAAGTAGCTATGAACCCTATAATGACTAAACTGGCATGGATGGTACATCTTAGGATGCATACTACGAGACTTGCTTCGGATGCTGAATCTGACCTACATTTTCTGGTTGAGTGAACATGTTAGAGTTTTTGGTGCAGGTTTTATTTCCAAGTAACTATAAACCCTATAATGACTTAACTTGCATGGATGGTACATCTTAGGATGCATACTACCAGACTTGCTTCGGATGCTGAATCTGACCTACTTTTTCTGGACGAGTGAACAGGTTGAAGTTTATGGTGCAGGATTTATTTCCAAGTAACTTTGAGTCATATAATGACCAAACTTGCATGGATTGTACATCTAAGGGTGCTTTCTACTAGGCTGGCTTCGGAAGCTGAATCTGACTTACATTTTCCGGATTAGTAAAAAGGTTAGTGTTTATACAGATTTAATTTCCAAGTAACTTTGAGCTCTATTTTGAGCAAACTTGCATGGATGACACATCTTAGGATTCACACTAATGGACTTGCTTCAGATGCTGAATTCGACATACTTTTTCTAGATAATGGACCTCGTAAAAGTTATGGATGCAGGCTTATCAACAAGAAACCATAAGGCTTATATAAACCAAACCTGCACAAATGATGCATCAAGGGATGAAAACTCTCAAACTTGCTTCAGATGCTGGATTTTAATTTCGTTTTCAAGATGAAGAACTAGTTTGAAGTTTTTATATAGGTCTATTCCAAAGTATCAAAATCAAAATTGCATAAATTTTGCATTTTGGATGTAAACTTTTTTTTGGTTAATTTTGTGACCTAATTTGCCTTACTTAAAGACAACATTCGTTGCGGTGAGCTCTGTAATCTCTGATTACCTATGTTTAATCTTTAAGTCTTGCCTTTGCATGTGGACACGAGAGCCGAACTTCCTGCAAAACGTGAGGATTTAGACTTATAAGGCAAGCCTTTCCCTATGTACCGGCCAAAAATGTAAGGGCTAAGATGAATAGCATTTTATATAGTATTATATTACATTTCTTCCCGTTTTTTATATTAACCCTTCTGATCTAAAGTTTCAACATTGTTAAAATCCTACTGAAGTAACAATCACAAGTGCACAGGTAGGCTGTGATTTGATCCTTCAAATTTGAATTTTACGGAGTGGTATCCTTGGCTTTCTTTTAAAACGCATTCTTGCGTAATGTGCATGCATTGTTCGTCGAACTATGTCTCGGGTGTGCTGACATTTAAAACGATTTTCCAGCAATTTTGAGGCTATTTTGCTTGTCGTTGGAATATATCATAACTGGGACACAGAAAGTAAATCCTGGTAAGTGTTGTAAAAGTTTACTTTATCATATATTTGAATATATATCTTTTTTAGGTATTATTCTATTGATTGACATACTTAAAACCTAATCATGAAAATTAAATATCTGATCCTTTGAAGCAGATCTATTAAATTATTTGAATTCGATGGATTCAAATGGTATATTGTGATAGTAATTGGGATATTAGTCTCGGGGAGTTTACTAAATAGCTTCGCTTCTAAGGTATTAAATTGTATTTTTGTGACATAAACATAATTTCAGAATATGCATAATTTTCTTAGCATTTTCAATGAAATAATTTCACATTGATTCATAAAAAACGAATCGTCTGCATCAAAGTTTATACTTACATTGTATAACATGGTGCCCAAAACTAAATTTATATTTCAGTTGAAAGGTATTTATCGTAAATTTATAATATAAATCTGCTTTTCGGTTCGATAAGTAGCATTGAAATACGGCAAAAAAACCAAAACCAAATAAATTATTTAACTAAAGAGAGAGAGAGAGAGAGAACGGGGAAAGTTATCATGGTTGAGGGATTTATGTAATATAGGACAAGTATCCCGTTGTTATTTCAGATTCCCTATTAATCAAACAAACAATATGGATGTTATTTTGCTTGTTAGATATGGCGCTTCTGGCCCCAGTGATCAATTTGCTGGGGTTACCACAGGGCTGCCCCACAATCAACAATCGATACAAAAAAAATGACGATCCAAATCGGACAGATGACGTCATAAAAGCTATATGACATGATCTTTATAGATTAAAATTTCTTAAAATCGATTTTTAAGATTGATTTGAGTTCGTAAAAATTAATCAAAATATGCAGAGGCATAATATAAACAGACTTTTGTCGTTTCTGGTTCTGTGTTTACCAAGGGGCTAAATACCAAACCCGTGACGTCATAACTGTTGATCAGTCTTAGCAGAATGAAAGTGAAACGTAACGAGAATTCCTGTAAACAAACACAACAAATCGGAGTTTAAAAGCATTTAGAATAAATATAATCTGTGATTCATATGGGAATAAAGCTTATAAATAAGGTATGCAAATATAATTTTACAATATCTTCGTACAATAAAAGCAGACAGTTTGTTTACTTGCCGATCGGCCTTTTTTCTCTGTCGTTCATAACCAAAAAGATGCAAAAGTTCAACACTATCCCGCATACTTTGAAACCTAATTTTTTTTCTATCCAAAGTTCTTATTCTATAGTTTTTTTGAAAGTGCTGCTAGAATCATATAGTTAACGGGAATTAATGCATTTTTTCGATCTTATGAACAAAATATAAAAGTTTTGGGAAGGTTTCGTCCGAAAGTGTTGAATGATTATAAATTCTGTGATAGGACAGTAGGATTCTAGCAGCACTTTTCATGGTACAGAATTTTTTTTTTTACATAACTATTATTACAAATTAAAATTAATTATTCCAGGGGTAGTGTTGAACTTTTCATTTCTTGATAAAGGCATTTTTTCTAATTATAGACGTCACGTGGTGACGTCGTGGTGTATTGCTTCCTGTAGTTTAAGTCCAATTGAAGTCTATAGAATGCAAAATGATAGCAAAAGTTTTATCCATGACTTTTTCGATTGATGAGTATTACAGATTATTAAAAAAGTGTTAATTTGCCGAATTCTGATCCGTGTGCTGCCTTAACAAACCTGCGTACATCAAAATGAATTTCATTTGTTCATATCTAAATTTCTTTTACATGTAGGTGTCTCAGACTCGGGAGAAAATGAACGGTTTCTGGATTATTTACTTTCTGGCTGTGGTGGGAGGTTCTTCTGCCCAGGACAACGATGTCCAGTGGTTCGATATTGAGGAGACACAGAAACAACCAAAACAGGTACAGATTCTAAAAACAAAGGCAGGGATTAACTACCAACCATATGAACAGGCATGGAAGGAATTCAAGTTCTTGCACGGTATGTCAACGTATATATATGATAATGTCAACAAGGATTGTTATTTTAAATGAATATTTATTTTACTGAAAGATGAAAACTGTCTTTATACCTGCATTTTCTAAAGAAAGTTCAGGTATATTGTTGTTACTCATGTTCGTCCGTCCGTCTGTCACACTTTTCTTCCTTCTACATTTTACACAGTAGCCTAATCATCTTTTGGGAGATAGTTGGTGGTGTCATGTAAATGTGCATTCAGGTTTCGGAATTTTGATTTTGCCCCGGGGGATCAAATAAGGGTCGAAAAATGACGTTTTTCATGCAAAAAGCCCCGTCTTCCATGAACTCCTCCTACATTTTACTCAGTAGCCTATTCATCTTTTTGGCGATGGTTGGTGGTGTCATGTAGATGTGCAGTAAGGTTTTGGAATTTTAATTTTTCCCCTGGGTGTCAAATGGGGGACGAAAAATGAGGTTTTTTATGCATGAACTCCTCCTACATTTTACTCACTAGCCTAATCATCTTTTGGGCGATGGTTGGTGGTGTCATGTAGATGTGTTTTAAAGTTTCGGAATTTTGATTTTACCCCGGGGGTCAAATGGGGGTCAAATAGGACATTTTTATGCAAAAAGCCATGTCTTCCTTGATCTCCTCCTACAAAGTAGCCTTACTCAGTAGCCTGATCATCTTTTAGGATATGGTTGGTGGTGTCATGTAGATGTGCAGTAAGGTTTCAGAATTTCGATTTTGCCCCGGAGGGTCAAATGAGTGTCGAAAAATTATGTTTTTTATGCAAAAAGTCTTCACTGAACTCCTCCTACTTTTTACTCAGTAGTCTGACCATCTTTTGGGCGATGGTTTGTGGTTGTCATGTAGGTGTGCAGTAAGGTCTTAGAATTTTGATTTCTGGGGGAGGGGGGGCAAATGGGGGTCGAACAATGAGATTTTTTATGCAAATAGCCCCGTCTTTGCTGAACTCCTCCTATATTTTACTCAGTAGCCTATTCATCTTTTGGGCGATGGTTGGTGGTGTCATATAGATGTGCAGTAATGTTTCGGTATTTTGATTTTGCCCCGGGGGGTCAAATGGAGGTCAGAAAATGATTTATGCAAAAAGCCCTATCTTCCCTAAACTCCTCTTTTATTTTACTCAGATACCAGGAAAGCTAAAGGAGCTAAATAAAAACCTATGATTCACAAGTATTTGGAAAGGGTTACATTTTCTGAAAAGCTGTTTTTTCATGCATTCTTTTGAGAAGCTGAAAATGTATGACATGTATCCATGTTGAAAAAAAACTGCACATTTCAGATAAAAGTATATGATTGAAAATAGTTAATCAAGGTGCTTTGAGTAGCAAAATAAAGCTAAACTGGTATAACTAATTCAACCGCAGAGCTTAGTCAATTTTAATATACACTATTAACCTTTTCAACTTTAATAATAATTATTTTGAAAATATTTATATCATCATTTCTGACTCAAGGGAGAACTTAAGAGATATGACCAGAAGTATATCTGTTGAATATAAAACATGTACATGTACGAGTATACTGTGTTTTTTTAGTAATTTGTTTGTTGTGAAAACATCTCTATTGGGATTTTTTCACTTCTATGGAGGCACCACCCCTTAAAAATAACAAAGACAATATGTGTTTGTGATGCCCCGTATGGCAGCTTTTAGCGAAAGTCAACTTCCAAGGTCAAAGGGTCAAAATCGTTGTTATCAAAAATGAAGTCTTGCCTCAAGGAATATTAACATGTGAAATAAGAGAGAAATCCCAATAACTTCCTGTTTAAAAATTATTGCAAGGGTTTAAGTTTTTTTTTAAAGTCGATCAAACTCTAGAGTCAAGGTCAAAAATATTTATACCTGTTGAAAGTTCACAATACATATTTTAAGCATGAAAGCCCTAGCACCAAGTTTAAAGTTTGATATTTTTCTTGTAAAATTGGGTCAAACTCCAAGGTCAAGAGATTAAAAGGTAAAAATTGTTGGCACCCAAATTAAAGGTCTTGTCACAAGGAATTTTAATACCTATGAAATGTGGAAGCCATGTGTATAGCCCAACTTAGCTGAAACAGGCATAATAAAAACACATATTTACAAGATGTAATATTCGAGTCAAATGGTAAAAAAATCTACTACTTTGGAATCACAAGATCATTTATTATTTCAGGTACAGGGAGTGACTAGGGAGATCCCCCCCCTCTGGAATTTGCAAAGTTATTTAAATAGGACTGTACACTGAAGCAAATAAATATGACTTAGGATATCCCCCCCCCAAAAAAAAAAACATAAATCCCATCATCATTGTTTTTATTTTGTTTTTTTATTTGCTTCTCGGGATATTCTGAGCTGGATTTTTTTTAGACTGAGGTGTGCCCCCCCCCCCTCCCGAAAAAAAATCAGAATGTCACGTCGACAACGGGAGATAACTTCACAATGTGAAATTCATCTACTGTAGCATGGGATGATCTTTGACCCTTTCTGAACTTCAACCTAACCATTTCCATTCGGGTTATTTCATTCTACAGTAAAACTTGTACTTACCGACTGTCATACTCAGGTCCTTTAAACTTCATGAAATATAATCCAACTAAAACACAAAATGATTTTAACTGATACACCATCAGCATGTGCTATCTCATTCGGCAAACATTTGCTGATTCCGTCACTTTCATTAGATGAAGTGCAAATCGGCCGAGGTGTGCCGAGTGGTGATATCTAAAAATATGATAATGGGTGACGCAAACCCAATGTGATGCAGACATTTTCAAAAAGGAGTTCACACGTAAAGATGTATGGTACAAGAACAAATTTTCAACTATCATTGATAATAAACGATGTTTTAACATAACTTTACCATCTAGGCCTAAAAAAAAAACGTTTGTGTGTGTGTTTGTGTGTGTGTTTATGTGTGTGTGTGTGGGGGGGGGGCATTGACAAATTGATTGGGTTTTATTTTCAATGTTGTTTTTTTGCATTACCAAATACGAAAAAACAGTTTGCACATTTTGATAAATTCATCAAAAACGCTTTGTACGAAAATAATATTCTATGTAGTTGAGAAAGTAAATTAAAAAAAGTTCCAATTATGGGCAAAATATTTATCAGAATCTAATTTACATCATAAAATTCTGTTATTTCAGTCTGGTGATGAATTAAGTATTCAAAATACATGTATAAGAGACTCATAGATCACATGGTCACCTGAAAATTTTATGTTAATTACAGAATTGTATTTTGATGTTTTCCTTGGAAAGCGCAATATAAAGGAGTGTGTATTTAGAGGCAAACACTTTAGTGATGGTATTACTGTCTCATGACAGAATCTATTTTTTAATTATTATTATGGGTGATGAATTTTCATTTGTTTGATATGTTAGAATTCGAATATTTCTTGATTCGCCATTGGACATTGTAATTCTTTAATTATTTAAATAACGCATATAATTAATTCTTTCCCTAAAAAACCAACAATGGGTAAATTAACAAAAATTGATGAAGAACTATCACCTGTTTGTGATTGATTGCATTAGATTGTCATTTGCATTTATCATTTGTAAAATAATATTTGTTAAAAAAATTCTGATTGTAAACACTCTTTAAGTACTCTGAAGTTGACATAAAAAGATGTTTGAGATTCTGATTGACAATATCTTTGTGGTTTTTGGAGACCAGGTCTTCCAACAATCTATTGGAATTCCCATGGGTACAAATTGCGCTCCGTTATTAGCAGACCTATTTCTGTATTCATATGAAGAAGAATTTATGCAAAATCTTATGCGTGAAAAGAAGAAAACACTTGCTGTGGCGTTCAACTCGACATTTAGATATATCGACGACGCATTGTCAATTAACAATGATACACGTAATTTCCATTCCTATGTCGATACGAAATATCCTGGTGAGCTTGAGATTAAAGATACCACAGAATCTGACACATGTTTCTTACTTTGACATTTGAATTGAAAAAGGCGTTAATGGTAATCTAGCAACAAATAAACGTGATGACTAACTTTTTCTATCGTCAATTTCCCAGCAATATACCTTCATCACCTGCATATGGAGTTTATATCTCTCAGTTTATTCGAAACCCAAGAGCATACTCTACATATAACGAGGTTAATTTTTGACAAACAAGTTGATGAAACATGAGTATCAGCAGTCTCGTTGAAAGTCATCATTTTGTTCAATGGTCGATACAATGACCTTGTCAGCAAATACAATTTATCATTGAGTAGAATGCTGAACGACGTTTTTCATACTAATTGTTAATCCATTATTTATACACTGAATTGACGACGGATTTTTCCATTAATTTCCAAAAATGACAAGGACCAAACGGCAGGTGTGACCGGTCGGCAAGGGATGCTTTATCCTTCATGGCACCTCATCCCACTTCTAATGTTTTGGAGGTCCGTGTTTTGTATTATTTTATGGACTTTTTATCTTGAATACTGTTAGTTATCTTCATATATTTCATTGTTTAATTCTAATCTGCATTCTGCTTTTACGAGGGACGTTCAATAAATAATGTCAATAGCTCGATTTCATACAACATAGTAGTCATATGACATACAGCTTGAGTTTCTATCATTATTGAATCTTAAATGAATTGATAACAGGTTGGTTGACCACTTTTCATCGCATTATTTCATCGTAGGAAGCTGGAAAACAAGGGCTATTCGAGACACTGCATTAAAAATGAATGGTCAAGAATCAGTTAACTAGAGTAAAATTAAACGCTTCATTAAAGCAGCTGTAAACCTTGTTAATATCCCAAAAACATATTAACTGAAATATGTAAAATTAAATTTACAGCAACCAATGCATGTTTTATAGACAGGTGAAGATGTAGATTTCAATAAACAAAAATTTTATAATGGGCATCAAAAATGGGTACCGTCCTTGCAACAATGACTTACAACAACCGATGTAAATTTGCGAAATTTCAACAAATTATCACTGATTATGCTTTATTGACTTTAAGACACATAGAAAAATTGATAAAAATC